CTGACAGTTAATGTTAGCCCAGCACATTTTATCTGGGCTATAAGAGTGAGGTGCGGAACCTGATTCTGTCCTCAAACAAAGCTCTTGCGTTTTCATAGTTTAAGGAATTTCAGTTGAGAGGCCCACTGTGAAAGGCTGGTGATAGACAGCCTGCAGAGCAGCTCGGTAAGCACAGAATGTTGTGTCTAAGGGTGGGCTCCACATTCCAGATTACAATAAATAAATGAATAAATAAATAAAAACAAAAAATAAGACAAAAACAAAACATGGATGTTTTGCCTTCAGTTTGCTCCATTCTTTAGGTGCTTGTGGAGAGTTGATTAGGGACAAGGGCACTGATTCCAAGCAAAGGGGAAGAAGCAGTCTCCTAGATATACTTTTTTTTTCTTTCCTCCTTTTCTCTTTTTATCCTCCTTACCTCCCTCCCTTGACTTTGAGGTGGACTAGAGGTATACAATTTGTACCACACACAACATAAAAGGTAATCCAACTATCCGGCCATCCTCCTTCCCACCTCCCTTCCCTTTTCCTCTTCTTCCGTTTCTCCATCATTCCTTTATCCTACTTTTCAATTATCACATAGCTGGCAGAGAAGAAAAGATGGTATTTCTACCTCAAGAGCTCAGAATTCTGTGGACAGGCTGACCAAGATGATTAACAAGATCGATTCTCCAATAAAGAGAGTTGCAAAGTATTAAGAAACACAGGGGACGCAGCATCTGGTTTCTACTTTCAGTGTGGTGTGGGTATGTGGGGGGATGGGCACATGTGTGTAAGAGAGAAAGAGAGAGAAACAAAGATAGTGCAATATTCTAGGGTATGCACATGCTATATTTTCTGTATCCATGTTCTTCTTAATGAGTTGTTTCTAGTTTTTGTCTTTTTGAATCATGCAACCAATGTCTTTTGGTACATGAATTAATTACTAATCTATTACTGTGACTGGACCACCCCCAAATGAGTGGCTTAAAACAATAACCATTTTTTTTTTTGCATATTTTTGCAGTCTGGGCCAGGCTCTGGATATTTCTTCTGCTGGTTTTATCTGGGTTCACTCAATCAGTCATCCAGCTGGGGCTAGATGGTCTCATCACATTCTGGCAGCTACCTGGACCATCAGTTAAAGCTCTATGTGCCCCTTTTTGTGGTAAATCTAGACTTCCTCACCGAACAGCTGGATTCCAAGAGAGCAAACTTGGAAGCTGTAGGTTCTACAGAGGCTTTGCCTCAAATTTACACAAAATTACTTTTGCCTCATTTCCTTGGTCAAAGCAAATCATAGGGCCAACTCCTTGAATATATGCCAGGAAAGGAGGACTTCGTGGTCATGTTTTAAAACTGACCATGGGTAAAAACCTAGGCATGGAACATCCGGTCAGAGTGTGGCTTTAGTTCAATTTAGTGCTACCAAGTTTCCCAGCAGGTGCCTGTTGCTCCCCAACTTCATCCATTCTTGGTTTGTGTGTCTATCTAATTTTAGCCACTCTGGTGAGGATGTGGTGGTTTCTCATTGTGCTTTAGTTGGCTTTTCCTTGAGTACTAATGAGGCTGGATACCTTTTTATGTGCTTATTGGTCATTTATGTATCTTCTTTTGGAGGAAGCAATTTGTAGGGGTTCTTTATATAGTCTGAATATGAGTCATTGTAATTTTACTCAACTCTCCCTCTTGGATTTTGAGTGATTTTCTTCTTGATTACAAAGGAAGTAACATTTGAGCTGAAGTTTGGAGGAGGATGAATAATTAAAGAAGATCAGGGAGGCCTTATATCTAGAAACATGAACAGTGCCAAGAGGGAAAAAAAGTGGTATGTTTGAGAAATAATGAGATTTCAAGTTAGGTAGAGTGTGACAAGGACCAGAGTTTCAGGGGATGATGCTGAAGAGGTGACCTAGGGAAAGGACATTGATGGAATGGAGAGAAGCATATCTTCATGGGACATTCCCTTTCATTTAGCTAGTCCTTGGTAATTCTTCAGATCTCCAGAGCTTGGAGACTGAGAAGCTTATCAGAGCATAAGACTCTGAACATAACAACCATAAGTATAACCACTGAGGAGTGACAGGGATCTTCCCCTCATGCACACATAGGGGAAGATAGGTGGGAGATTGAAGGAGAAGGAAGGAAGGAAATGGAGAGACAGAAGCAGAGACCCGTTATCAATATCTTAAATAATATGTGGTAGCATTTTTTGTAGAAAATATGGCAGAAACACATATTCACATTCGCAACAAGATCAGATTCAGAAAAAGCAGAAACTGATCTGAAGCCGAAAGATACCGATTAGACTGTAAACCTTGTTACTTCTGGAGAGTGGCTTCAAGAAGGGGTTGGTGTGGGTGAAGGAGACCTTTTCCTCTTTAAATAATTAAGTGTGTTTTTTTATAGAAAATATCTATTCATAGATTCATTTTTTTTGAAAGGAAATAAATCTATTTCTCAACTTCAATTAAGAGAAGCTTTTCCGTCCATTTTCATAGAGAAATATAAATTGATAAGTAACTGCTCAGGATAGTAGAGTAAGAAAAAAGTGACGTGGATCAGATGAGGAGGGAACTCAAGAACTGTGGCCAGTGGACCACACAGGTCATTGCTCAGCAGGTGCTGGAGGCTCAGGACGTCCACAATAGAGGCTATGCTGGCAAAGATGCCCGCAGGTATGATTCCCATGGCCTGGCCAGGCTGCCCGTTACTCCTTATCTGTGAAAGGCCTCAACAACACATGGTGTGGAGGTTTTGAGGTTCTGAGCCCAGGACTAGCTAACTCATACATGGAGAACAAAACACAGAACTTGAGTTTGACAAACCCCAGCAGAGGAAGCTTAGGTTTTAGCTTTATTTCCTCATATTTGTGAGCAAAAGTGTAATCCTCTTCTCTGTCCTCTGCCCCTTATCACTTTAATCAGAGGGAAGGATATAGCATTGCATTGTTAGAACTCTTCTGAATGAAGAGAAGGAGAATTCTGACATCTGCTGGAAGAGTGAGGACTCAGCCTGAAAAGAGGTAAAGAGGTGACTAGACTGATTTGTGCACACACACACACACACACACACACACACTTAGTCAGCTTTTTCGCTGCTTTGACCAAAAGACCTGACAAGAATAATTTTGGAGGAGGAAGTTTCAGAGATCTCAGTCCATCAACAGTCATCTCCCTTCCTCAGGGCTCGAGCTGAGGCAGAACATCGTGGCAGAGGAAAGCAGCTCAGGACATGGCCCCAGGAATCAGAAAGAGAGACTTCACTCAACAAGGACAATATATATGCCCTAAAGACATGCCCCCAGGGACCCACCTCCTCCAGCCACAGCCTCTGTGCCTACAGTTACCATCCAGTTAATTCCTATCAAGGGATTAATGCACTTAATAAAGTTAAGACTCTCATAACCCAATCCTTTCACCTCTAAATTTCCTTGCAATGTCTAACACATGAGCTTTTGTGGGACACCTCACATCTAAATCACAACACACACACACACACACACACACCTGTTTTCCCTCTATTAAAACAGTAGTACCGATTTATTTTAGGAATACAGTAAAAAAGAAGGAAATTAAACCCTATTAAGCCCCATGACCCAGAATAAGGAATAACATGGCATGTTTCTTACTAGTCTTTTTATTACACCAAGAAAATTAAACAATTATTGATGAGGTAACTCATTCACCATGTATGAATCATTGCCAAATGCTGAAATAAGCAGTAAACAAGGTAGACACAAACACTTCTTTTAGGAACTTAGATTTCTCCATCTGTGATAAGTATTGTGCACTCAATACAACAATGTCTTACATTTGAATCAGGAAAATGCAAATTAAAACCACGCTGTGGTTTCATCTCACTCCAGTTAGAATGGCAACTATCAAGAATATACATAATGATAAATGCTGGAGAGGATGCAAGGGGAAAGGTACATGTATACGTTGTTGGTAATACTGCAAATTGGTACAACCACTGTAGAAATCAGTACAGAGATTCCTCAGAAGGTTAGGAATGAAACCACATGATCCAGCTATTCCATTCCTCAGTATTTTCCCCAAAGAACTGAAATCAGCAGACTGTAGTGATAACATGCATTCTGATGTTTATAGCAACACAATTCACCATAGTAAAGTTACAGGAATCAGCCTTGGTGTCAATTAACAGATAAATTAATTTTTTAAATGTGGTATACATACACAAAGGAACAAAGAGGACTAAAATTATATCCTTTGTGAATAAATGGATGGAACTGGGGAACATCATGCTAAATGAAATTAGCCAGACTCAGAAAGTCAAGGGTCAAATGTTTTCCTTCATATGCAAAACCTATAGGAGAAAAAGGAATAAAAGAAAAAGGGGAATATCATGAAAATAGAAGAGAGATCAATATTGGAGAAGTAAAGCATCAAGGAGAAGGGAGGAGAGAGGAAAAGGAGAACTGAAGAATGAAATTAACCACATTATGCTATATTCATGAGTGAATATAACACAATGAATCCTACTTTTATGTATAATTATAATGTACCAATTAAAAAATACACATATAAATAAAAATTGAAAAGACCAAAATAGAGGATGGGGAGAGGAGGAAAGGCAGGGAGGGAAAGGGGAAATACTGGGACATTAATTGGATTGAATTATGTGCACACATGAATATGTCACAATGAATCCCACTATTATGTATCATTATGATGCACTAATAAAACATTAAAAACGAAATCTTGCATTTGCAAAATAGTTAGTACATGTTAGGCATTATGTTAACTGCTTTTCATGTGTTTAAGTGTTTTACACACACCATCACAAGCAATCTTCATGACGACTTAATGAGGTAGGTCACTACTACTCCTAGCCCCAATTATAGATAAAGAAACTCACTCAGACACCTCAGACAACTTAGCCAAGCTGACACAGCTTGGGGTCAGGCTAGGATCTCACTGTACCTGACCCTGTCACAGCCATGCCGCACACATCAGCAATAGAATACCTAACGTTTCCCCCTCTTCTTCCCTTTCTAGGTCTGACTGCCCTGGTGGCTGGAGATTCTAAGCCAGTATGATGGATGATGACACAGAGTTGAGGACTGATGGAAACTCCCTTCTGAAGGCTGTGTGGCTGGGCAGGCTGCGGCTGACCAGACTCCTCCTGGAAGGGGGAGCTTATATCAATGAGAGCAATGACAAAGGCGAAACGGCTCTCATGGTGGCATGTATCACCAAACATGTGGACCAGCAAAGTATCAGCAAGTCTAAGATGGTGAAGTACCTGTTGGACAACAGGGCAGACCCTAATATCCAGGATAAGTCTGGAAAGACTGCTCTCATCCATGCTTGCATCAGAAGAGCCGGGGGAGAAGTGGTCTCCCTACTACTGGAAAATGGAGCTGACCCCAGCCTTGAGGATCGCAGTGGGGCTTCAGCTCTGGTTTATGCAATAAATGCAGATGACAAGGATGCATTGAAACATCTCATTGATGCCTGCAAAGCCAAAGGGAAGGAAGTGATTATTATAACAACAGATAAGTCATCTTCCGGCACCAAAACTACTAAACAGTATCTTAATGTCCCTCCTTCACCCAAAGTGGAAGACCGACAGTCACCTCCACTGTGTGCGTCTCCTTCTGACATTGAACTGAAGGCTCCAGGCCTGAGCTCTCCACCAAATGAAAAAGAGGATGTCTTCTTCGGCCTCCAAACAGGACACCCAAGTGGCTGTAACACCTCTAAGATTCTCAATGAGCCTGGGTCTCCCACTAGGAAAGTCAGCAACCTTCCCACCAGGAAAGTGGGGGCCCGCTTGCCCCAACTGAAGAGGCTCCAGTCTGAACCCTGGGGCCTGATTGCACCATCTGTGTTGGCAGCCTCCTCTCGTCAGGATGAATCCCACAGTGCCAGCACAGACAATGAGGTCATCAGGAACATCAGTGACATGTCTTTCCCTAAAAGGGGGCCCCTCTCCAGAACCAACAGCACTGATGGCAAAGACCCTGCCCTCTTCCCCACAGTCCCAGAGCAGGCTCTGAAGGTTCCAGCCTCTTCAGCCCCAGCATCCTGGAAAGCAGCCTATGAGAAGGGCCAGGCTCCCCACCCTCGTCTGGCAAGGAGAGGAGCTCTCCCTGTTGACCAAGAGAAAGGTGGCATGTGCCCATCGGGAGCCTCTGCTCTCAAAGAGCCAGCATCCCTCAAACGGCTGGAAAATGACCTGTATGACTTAGAGTTACAACCAGGGGCTGACTCACCCAACTCCATTTCCCTCGAGCCAGGCAAAGGTCCCTTAGATAGAAAGAAGCTCAACAGCTCCCACTTGTCTCTTTTCCATGGCTCTCGGGAGTCCCTGGATGCCGTGCCCACCACATCCCCCAGCTCTGTGCGTCGCAGACCCCCGCATCTTCTAGAAAGACGAGGTTCTGGAACTCTGCTGCTAGACCGCATCGCTCACACTAGGCCTGGCTTTCTTCCACCTTTAAATGTGAATCTGAACCCACCCATCCCCGATATTAGACCGAATAGCAAACCTTCTTCCCCACTTGCTAGTGGCTTAAAATCTATGGTTCCTGTTGCTCCAAGTTCACCAAAGAGAGTTGACTTGAGAAGTAAAAAGAAGCTCCTCAGAAGGCATTCTATGCAAATTGAACAGATGAAGCAGCTGTCGGACTTTGAAGAAATAATGACCTAGAAACCTTCAGGAAGGCTTCTCCTCACGTCTAAATCTAGGTAGTTTATGGAAGGGACCAAAATCTAGACCAACATAGCCATGTAGATCCTCTGTCTCTGCTCACTCCTCAATGCTGGTATGTGGCCACTTCAGAAGACATGGGAACAGGGTGCTACTTCACCTTTGAAATAAATGCAGGGATTATTTCACTTCTGAAATGATTATTTCGCTCCTGAAATAATCCCTGGGTTTTTACAGGCCTACTTGAAAAGAGTTCAGGATAATTGGGTTTCAGAGATGAAATTACAAGAAAAAAATAATTCCCCCAAGGAAGACAACCTTTGCAGTTTGAAGGTGACCCAGCAAGTATGGTGATTTAAGCTGTGGATCCCAGTTACTTGCCTTCAGACAAACAGTAAATGTGAGTTGAAGTCATGAGACAGTATTACAGTATGCTATTCAGAGCCTATAAAGTAGCTAAAAAAAAAAAGAAAAGAAAGAAAGAGAAAATGAGGCTTTAGCATTTGTCCAAAATGTGCAAAAGCTCAAAACTAATCCCTAAGCTCCTGAATTTGGCATCTGGGTTCAGTTTGATGATAGAAGCAGGATCCCCCATCAGAGAGGGTCTGGTATGTGGGTCTTTCTTGCCTCTTGCTATTCTGCAGGCACTGTTAAGCATGGTTGAGTTCTGAAAGATCTCTTTTCAGATCCAGAGATGTTCACGGACTCATTTGGGTGTGCTGTGAGTCCCTACATATCACATTTTCGTGGCTCCATTCTGACACGTCATTGTAGATGGTACCTCAAAGATGAATCTTGCTCCCAAGATGCAACTTTTGCCAGACCCCTGTGCAGACATAGGCTCTGTGTTGAAATCTAGTAAAGAACAGTCAAAGAGAACTAATTTGGACTTGAATGTGACACAATTAATAGAACAGAACTACAAGAAATGTTACCGATTATTCTTAAGAAAACTCAATGAATACTACCAAAACCGGGATGATAGGTGATGATGGGATGTACTTGGATTGAAAAGTAAATTGGAGCCGAGCACAGTGGTGCACACCTGTAATCCCAGCAGCTCAGGAGGCTGAGGCAGGAGGACTTGTAAGTTCAAATCCAGCCTCAGCAATTTAGTCAGACCCTAAGCAGCTTAGTGAGATCTTGTCTCAAAATAAAAGATTAAAATAAGGGCTGGTGGGTGGGGGGCATGGCTCAGTGGTTAAGCGCTCCTGGGTTCAATAAATAAATAAATAAATAAATAAATGAAGTGTCTGGTCCTCAAGCTGATGGCAAAAAAATGAGGACCATTTCATTTTCCAGCCTGAAAATTTTAGGGGATATCAAATGTCATTTCTCTTTCAGTTAATAGTTAATTCAAGAAAAATCCAGTTTCTTCTTTGCCTGAATTATGTAGGGGTTGGGAGATTCATAGGAATAATCTATACAATCCTTTGAAGAAATTAAGTAAAGTCTCACTGAAAGACTCAAGTGTCTCCTTGAGATCTCCAAGATTCTAAAAATCCTAGTTCCTAAATTTATTTGTAAAGTAAAAAAAAAATCCGTAACATAAGCTCTACATTTTGTGATATTTCATTAAGAACATTTGCTAGAAATTTGTCTAGATATCCCAAGCAAAAGTGTTACTGATAGTCATTAATTATAAACAAAACAAAATTGCTTATTTTAAAAAATGATTCATTTAGGGAAAGCTCTTAACCTCAGCACTAGTAACACTGGAGGCTGGGTCATTCTTTGTTCTGGGGGCCTGTCTGTCCTGTGCACTGCAGGACATTTAGCATCCTCTTCAGCCTCTGCTCACTGAGTGACAGTATCACCCTGTTCCCTTCCCCCCAGTTGTGAGAACCAAAGACGTCTCCAGACATGGCCAGATGTCTCCTGGGGCAGCATCACCTTGGTGATCACCAGGGCTGTAGAGAATGGCCGTGCCTGTGATGGAAATATGTGAAGAATCAAAGTGCCGATCGGAGGTGTGGCACACAAGCACCCAAACTCAAGCACTAACGGGATCTTGTATCTTGCAGGAAGGGAAGAAAATGAGAAGAAAAGCATGTAAGGTAGTGAAAACCTACTATTCGTGAACTTGTTTAGTGTGGCCGATCCATATGCTGTTCAGACACATTTAATTGTTAACAGTTCTCACCAAGTAGATGTGAGTATAGGCAAAGAAACAGCTCTACTGCATTCCAAAGAGAATCAAACAGGCAGCCACTGTTTTCAGTGAGTCATTGAAAACACACATACACACACACACACACACACAGCACACTTTAAGTGCTTTTCCAGCTATTGTGATTGCATCAAAACTAGCCTCTGCTAGTAGTGTTTAGCTGTGGGGATAGCAAGAAAAATGCTGCAGAGGAGCATTTTTCTAAACCTTTAGCTAAGACTTGAAAATCTAACTTATCCTCAGTAGTGACATTTATAGTGATTAGCCTGGGTGAAACACCAAACATGACTTGAGTGGCTCGGTACATTGCACGAGCGTGTAGCACTGTACTCTCCTGCCACTCGTGGCCTGTGTAAGTCCCTGTGACCTCTTCATCAGCCTTTCTCTAGGCAGTCATCAGAATGCTGCCTTCTCCCATCAGTTCTTGATGATGCATTTGCTGAATTAGACTGTCCTAAACTAGTACAATGGTGAAAATACCATGGTTTACTCATAAATAAGAAATTTTATCTGTGTCAATGAGCCTCATGAGAATGCTTTTCAAGAAGCATATTTTAGATGCAAACATGCTTCCTAGACCAGAAGTTAGCTTTTTTCCTTTTGGAATCCAAGAGTCACTCTCTAAGTTAGCTTCAAACTGGAGTTTCATAATTTAGCCCCTTAAGATTCTCTGGACTGTTTATTAAAATGTCATTCAGAAAGTGAGCCTAAAGTTTGAAGTCTGGAACGTTGATTTAATTTCTAGACATCCCAAAGCTTTTTTTTTTTTTTTTTTAGAAAACAAAACACAGACCATTTGCAATCCTCTTAGAACTTCATCAAGCAAAGGTCCCCTGCACGTGCAGGTGTGTCTGACCTTCTTCCTTTGTGTGTGCTGGTGCTTTAGACGTATCTTGTGCTGCCTGGACTGGTCCTCTGCAGTATTCTATCCTAGTCTCAAGCTGAGGATATACTCAAAGATGTATCAAAATCTATGTAATAAAACTATTTAGTTGTTTCTAATATATCAATAAAAGAGATATTACAATCCTTCAATAGTATTTCTCATTTTCCTCAGTGAAATTTTAATGATAAATATTACCTTTCCTTTACAATGAGATTGATATGATTGCCTAGTAACATCAACCTTAGCAAACACTCAGTGTTTTATGTTCATGTAATTTCACAAATTGATTTAAAATTATACAAGCATGTTGGTTTCTCTCCTGGTTTAAGAAAGTGCAATGAATGATTGCCACTCATTGGGGGGCTTTTTTTTTATTAGTTACACATGACAGTACAATGATCTTGACATATCATACATTTGAATCAAATGGGGTATAATTTCTCATTTTTCTGAGTGTACAGGTTGCAGAATCACATTGGTCATACAGTCACCTATATGCATACAGCAATAATAATGTCTATTTTATTCTGCTGCCCTTCCTATCCTGGGGCTGCACTTACCAACTGTAAGTGGCTCAGACTGCTGGATATCCGACCTTGGGCCCTGTTTCTATGTTGGCCTGTGTGAGTGGAAGTTTACTTCTGTTAGCTCTTATTCAAGGGCGTGGTAACGAGAATACAATAAACTAGCTGGATGGTCCCCCTGGTCTCTAGTGATTCTCTGGAAACCTTACCCTTAAGCTCTTCTCTCAACTACTGAGATAAGTTAAGAAAAAGAGATTTAAAATGTACTAATTTTAGCATTCTTTTCCTGACTTCTACCTTCAGGAAAAGGGAGGCCAATGTTTCTAAATCTTTTGAGGATAGATTGTGAGAGATGCTCCTGGAGGAGGAGAAAATGGTGGGGGCGGAAGGCTAAGGGGGAAAAAAAAAGCCTAAGTGGCTGACACTGGAGGAGAGAGCATATTCTCAAGACTGATAACAGGTTCAGAAGTCTGTCATCCCTCGAGTGGAACTTGCTCCTTTCCAGAGCAAAACCTTATAGAGGAGTGGCTCCGTGGTGCACCTGGGGAGGCCGAGCCTGGGTCAAGCTTGGCAGGAAGGCATCTGAGTCTCCTGCCTCAAAGCCCTGCAGCTTAGACAGCGGGAGAAGGTCGCTAGGGAGATGAAGATCAAAGGGAACCTGAGCCTGAGCGCTGTACAAGGCTGTAGATCTCCGCGGAACAGGCAGGGAGCGCTCCACAATGAGAGCCGGACTTCTCTGAATCTGTGTTAAAGGATGTGGGGACTTTAATCAATTTTAATTGATTTAGAAAAGCAAAGATATGTGGCATTTCTTACATCCAAAAGTGATATAGAGGAATTCACAGCATCCCGTGCTTTGTCCAAGTTACAAAATGGCACGTGCCCCTGGGAGGTAAGGAGTCTGCCTTGCACTTGCGTTTGCCTGGGGAAGTTATCACGACATCTAGTTGTGTCAACAAAGGGAAAAGAGGCTCACCTAGCAGAAGGTGAGTTTGAGGTCCCAATTCTAAAAGACTGGCTGTGGAAGGGGATCTGTTGATATGACAGAGTTAAAGCCTGGTGGGGCCATTGGAGAAAAGAGTAATCACTGTGTGTGTGAGGCTTGGAGGGAAGTGGAAGAGAAGTGAAAGGGTCAAAGAGATTAAGGTCCTGCCAGAGTGAACAGCCTGATTGTTAAACCACAGTGGAAAAAAAAGAAAAAGAAAAAGACTACCAACTCCAATTTTAAATAAAATTAAAGCAAGCTTGTAATTCCAGCTGGAACTGTCTCTCCTGAAATCCTTGGGTTGGAGAACAGTACTCCAGCTCTCTAGGAGCATGGTTTAATAGCACAAAAAGTTGCAAAAGGAGGGTGTCTTGAGAACTTACAGATAAAAGGATTTTGACAAGCATAATACAAGGGCAGATAGTAGGTTAATGATCTAAATGGTTCAACATTTCAAGTTAGGGAGTAAATTGAGATCCCAACACCAGAATTTATGAGGCGCCACTAAGGTTTCAGAGAGGGTTGTTACCTGACCAGGGAAAGCCAGGCATGGGTGAGTTCAAGGCACGGGCAGGCATTCTAAGCAACTTTAAAATAGCAGTAATTTATAGAAAAACAAAAATTAACTTTTCATGATTTTGTGATGAGATGGCTCCCAATCTTAAAATGGAATTAGGCTGGGTTCATCACTGATGAAGAAAACCACCTGGAGTCCTCTGCCTTCTTGGGGCTGCTGTAATCAGAATCACAGACACTCCTGATCTAGGGCAGAGAGGATTTCCCATATGGTGAGAGGTAGGGGTCCAAATTAATTTTTTAATGATCTCATTAAAATCTAGTAAATATTTAATCCTTTCTTCACTGTGGTGGTAGCTATTTGTTATATCCACTCAGTTTGATTTGTCCTTTCTCCTTCTTGCTGTAAGAGCCTGACTTTGCTCATGTAGTCACACTATATATCCTTGCAATTCTTTTGGCTGAAGAGAAGCTGAGCCCAGCCCTTCAGAGGGAATTCCTGATGGTTCTGAGTTAATAGTGGTAGTCCCATTCTTCTTACTAGTGATCAGCATCAGCTAATGGGAACCAGCATCAGCCAATGTGCACATGGCCTTTCCCTTGACAATGCCCTAGATCCAAAGATGGGTTCATGACCTAAGTCCAACTAATTGCACAAAAGGAAAGGACTTCATCCCATAACCAAAGGAAATATTTTTCCCTTCCTTTTTCTTGTCATGATCAACATGTTGTCTCAAGTTTATTTGTTTGTTTGTCTTTACAGCCTTCTGATGACAATGAGATAACAGAGTCTAAGGATAAAGCCAATTTGCAGAGGCAGGAGTGGAGGGGAGGCCAAGAGAAGGGAAGTGAAATGAATCCACAGCCCTGATCATTATGTGCCTGCAGCCCACATCACTTCCACACTTTCCTTTGTGTGAGAGGACATATTTCTGGGCCACTTAACCTATTTGTAATTATTTTTCGTTTACTTGAAGTGAAAAGCATTCTGATATCATTGACTTGAAATGCCATCTTTGTAGTATGCTAAATTCTTTCTTTTAAAATTCTTGAGTCTATTTCTGAACTTTTCCATCCCATCCTACTCCATCCCATCCCATTTCATTCTATTCTGTTTCAGGTGTATATGCTGTGATATATATCACAGCACAATGCTTCATTATTCTAGGGTTTTAAGTCACTTTCACAAATTGTGGGAAACATACACTTTCAGTTCTCCTTGTTGGACAAATTGTTCCTTAGAGTTGTTTCTTTAAATGTTGATTTTTTTTTTACTGGGATTATTATTGAGATTTGATGGCATTATTTGTTTTCTTTTTATATCAACAGATTTTTTTCCTTACAGATTAAACCTTCTACTCACAAACATGGATTATTACTTAAAAGATTTAAATCTTCATTATTTTATCCTTCATTAAAGTGTACAATTTTCTTCACACAGATCTTATACATTTCTCTTTTTTTAAATTTCATTACCCAGTATTTTATATTTTTGTTTGTGGATGATATTCTTTCCCACACCATTGGCTATTGCTGGTATATAGCAAAACTGTTTTTTTCTAATGTGATGACAATGATAATGCCCACATAATTTTTCATTAAAAATGACAAAATGATCCCACAATTCATATGGAATAACAAAGAGCTGACAATAATTAAAATAGTTTTGAAGAAAAATAATAAAAGGGAAGACTATCTCCTCAGATGATAAGATTTTAAATGTTACAATAATCAACAATGCAGTCATAGATAAACTGACCCACAAAAACAGAACAGAGAAGAACCGCATATAGGGATGATGGAGGTGGCATTGCAGATCAATAAATGGCACTGAGACAATTTGTTCTCCAGATAAAATAAAAATGACATGGAGAATTTTAAAGCATAAAGCTAAAAACCCGAATGAACAAAGCAAGACTAATTTTGATTAGAATTTTGATACCTGCATTTATTAATGAGATTGGTCTCCAGTTTTCCCCTTTTCATGGCCTTTGTCTCTGTTACAGTCTGGATCTTAAGTGTCCCCCAAAGGCTCATGGGTTAAAGACTTGGTCCACAACCTGTGGTGCTGTCAGGAGGTGGTGGGACCTTTAGTAGGTGGGGCCTTGAGGGAGGTAGTTAGGTTACATGGGGTGTGCCCTTGAAGGAGACAGTGCCTCAGCCCCTCTTCTCTCTCTTTGCTTCCTGGTCACCATGAGGTGAACTGCTGTACACTACCACATACTCTCTGCCATGATGTTCTGCCTCACCGGGGGCCTAGGAAACAATGGAACCAATACAATCTGAAACCTCTAAAGCCATGGGTCAAAATAAATCTTCCCCCCTGTGAAGTTGATTTTCTCAGGTGTTTTGTCACAGTGATGGAAAGCTGACTGATACAGTCAGATGTTTTTCAATACTGGGGATTGAACCCAGGGGTGTTCTACTACTGAGCTATATCCTCAGCCCCTTTAATATTTTATTTTGATACAGAGTCTCACAAAGTTGCTGAGGCTGGCCTTGAACTTGTGAGCCTCCTCCCTCAAACTCTCAAGTAGCTAGGATTAGAGGTGTGTGCCACAGTGCCTGGTAATATCAAGTTTATTCTAGCCTCATGAGAAGAATTTGGGACATATCCTTTCATTATATGTTCTGTGGAAAAGTGTTTTTTTTTTTTAATTTGGATGGAAATGTTCCTTGATTACTCACTTACAGACTTTTCTTGTTAAGTAGATCTTGCTGGTTAAACTTTCTGGGCCAGGTAGGATTGAGTGAGTGTGTGTGCATGTTTACCTGCATGTGCATATAGGTACAATTCTTGTCTTCATTTATAAGTGAGCCAATTGAGGTATAAAGAGGTTAGGGACTTGCCAAGGTCACACAGCTGGTAACTGGT